ACAAATAAAGCCACAGGAGGATACAGAGATCACAATCCTCAGAAGCATGGCAAAGAAAAATCCTGTCCTCAGAATTAAGAAAGTTTTTCTTTTTTATTTATGAAATTATACTTTTTTAAAATTTTTACTGAATCACCATGAGATATAGTTACAAAGCTTTCATATTTGAGTTTCAGTCATACAATGATAGAACGTCCATCCCTCCAGCTGTCCATGTTTTCCACCACCCATGTCCTCAGCATCCCTCCCCCATCTCAACCCTCCCCCAGCCTCCATGGCAGACAATTTCCCCCATACTCTCTCTCTCTACTTTTGGGCATTATGGTTTGCAATATAGATACTGAGAGGCTAACATGTTTGATCCTTTATCCACTTTCAGCACTTCACATCTCCCTTCCCAATCGATCCCTCCAACCATCATTGACTTAGTGATCTATGCCAGCTTCCTTCTCCCCCAGCTCATGAGGCAGACTTCCAAATGATATAGCGATCCTGGCCTTTGTCTCTACTGCCCTTGGGTGTCAGTATCATATTATGTTATTTTATATACCATATATTCCCCAAATGAGTGCTGACATTCTATATCTGTCCCTCTCTTTCTGACTCAATTCACTTATAAGTAAATTTCATGACTTCATCTTTCCTAATAGCTGCATAGTGTTTCATTGTGTAGATGTACAAAATTTTCTTTAATCAGTCATCTGTTCTTGGATACTTGGGTTGTTTCCAGATTCTGGCTATTGTGAACAGTGCTGCAATGAACATACAGGTGCAGATGTCATTTCTACTGTGCTTTTTTGCACCCTCAGGATATATTCCCAGAAGTAGTATTGCGGGGTTATATGGAAGCTCAGCTTCTAGTTTTTGAAGGAATGCCCATATTGCTTTCTAAAATGGCTGGACCAGTCAGCATTCACACCAACAATGAAAGGCAATTTCTTTCTCCCTGCATTCACACCAGCACTGGTTATTCTTGTTCTTTCTGATGTGTGCCAGTCTCTGGTGTGAGATGATATCTTATTGTTATTTTGATTTGCATTTCCCTGATGATTAGTGATGTAGGGCATTTTTTCATGTGCAAGAAAGTTTTTATTGGTGGAAAAAAGTGAGATACAAATTATAAAAGGTGAAGCATATTGACACTACCATGTATGGTCATATAAGGTGCACCACTCCAGAGGGTCCTATTCACAGAGATTCCCCAACTTTTCAACCAAGATAACAGAAGCATTAGAGGTAGGCTAAGGAATCCAAGGGGAGAATTATACCATAAGTTATGTCTGCAAAGGATAGTATTAAGTTCTATCAAGGGTTTATTGGCATGCAAGGTGAGTGGTTAAATCAAAAGTTCTCTGTGGAACTTCTGGACCAAGGCATTGAAGAACCACTATATTTCCTTCTCTCTGTGTGTTTTTTGAGAACAACCTTTAAAATAACATACTAAGATATAAATACAACTATACCAAGTCATTGACTAAAAGAAATCCTTAGCAAATCATCTTAAACTTTCAGTGTCTGGAATTAACCTATTGTTATTTTAGACACAGATTATAAATCTGCCTTGCCACCCAGCAGGAATAATTATCCTAATAGTATGCTGTTGGAATGGTTGTTCTTAAATCGGTGTGGGGGCATCCTATGGAAGCTGGAATAAGACATTGTTTGGCTTACTTTGTGGTCCTGAACCTATCCTCTAAGAGGTTATTATATCTGATAATGGAAATTTTATGGAAAATATAGTAAAACCCCCAGGATCTAAATGGCTCAACAAAGAGGGCTTATGGAATCATCTTTCTTTCGGTCTTTTCTGTGGCCACTGGGTCTGGGACCTACAGTCATTACAACTCTACACCCACTCAGCTCATAAAATCAGGGCTATTTATGCATCAGTCTGTCAAATCTGTCAAATCCACAAGGACTGGAATAACCTGCATTTTGCCAGATGCTCCTAAGGAACAGCTGGAGTAGGAGTAATAAATAGGAACTCAGCACCAGCTATACCAGCTTCACCTCTGCATTAGAGGCGCTGTGTATCTAGCACTGGTCTGCTGTCCCAAAAATCAATTTCAGGTTCAAAACATCTAGTCCATATTAACCTTTTATGTTTCCAAATTGCAGTCTTAATCTCTTTCCATCAGCTTACTTGTAATTGCATCATAGACCCCAGAAACCTATCATTATTCCTCTCTAAGGCCCTAAGGCAAATCATCTGTGTGCTCTGATTGAATGCCCTATTAGTTAAGTGGTGGAAAGGAAAATCCTTCTGCAGTGGAGTGCTAAGACTCCTACACACACAGCACTTTGCCGGTATATTTTTCCTTTCCAAGGAAATTTCCCATTGATTTTCAGGATATACAGGGAGATAGCCAATGTATGTCACTGGTTGTTGTTTTTAAGTACCTCATTTGTTTCTTTAAAAAAAAAAAAACAGACAAATTCTTGGGTTGGAGCGATAGCTGCCGAGAGTATCTCGCCCGCACGGCAGAGCCTGGCAAGCTCCCCGTGACGTATTCGATATGCCAAACACAGTAACAACAAGTCTTATGATAGAGACGTTACTGGGCCCGCTCGAGCAAATCGATGAACAACGGGAGGGCCTTTACCTTTACCTCGAGCAATTCTTGAGTATTCACTATAGATCAGGAATTGTGCTCAGTGTAGGAAGTTCCTGATAAGCAAAGCTATCCAGAAGCAGCTGAGAGTGTATAGAGCAGTGATTTTTCTCTTTTGGCTGTGCTTCAAAACAGACCTGGTGACATTTTAAAATATCCATGTCCAGGCCAGTTAAATAGAAATATTTGGGGATAGAATATTGGTATTGTATTTCTTAATATTCTCAGATAATTCTGATACCTAAAATGAGTTGAAAGTCACTAGTTTTGAATTAATAAATCGCCTCCTTCTCTATTCCCTTGGCACAGTCTTTATATGAATACTTCATTATGGTTATTAGAGACCTTTGGCACGGAAAAAAAAAATGTTCCTTGTTGGGGCTGGGAAGGAGACTCAAAAGGCTTTACACACAGGGGACACCAGGAATGCATGATCCCCTGATTACCACCAGACAATTACCCCAAGCATTAAAGTAGGAGTAGATCCTTAGCACAGCTAGGTGTGACCCCAAAATAATACAAACAAAAGCTCCTCGCCATTTTGTCTATATGCGAATGGGGTAAAAATATGTAGCTTCTCTGAGGTGTGAGTTGGAGCTCTTAATTTGGAAGGTGGGTGTATAAAGTCATCAGCTAGTGACCCACCTTGGGTTGCTCTTTTGTATCTGTGATTCCATACACTTTAGGGGACTAATTAATTGGTCCCTTAATATCTCTAAGTTCTCTGTATATAGCCAAGAAACTGATCACTTACAAATGGGACTGGCAATGGAAACCTCTTGATTGTATTTAACTGGGGCCCTTTTTTCCAAAAATCCCTCTCTACAATTTGAAGACTACTGAACTTCCTATTTAGAACTTCTGTCTAAATACATATGGTTTAGAATGACTGTGCCCAACCCCTTAATTCTAAAAGTTGATTATTTCTCCAGCTCAAACAAATGTATCACGTTTTACATGCTTTGTACATGAGTTATGTCAAACCAATCAATGTCCACTGCTATCTTCTTGCTGAAACAATCAGCCATCATCTTTCTCTATGGTCACCAAACTGATATAAGGTATGTTGAAGTATTTTTAGGACGTTAATAGCCATCAAAAAAGAAAGACCCTGGCTGAGAAAAATCAACATAGACTGCCAATGATCTATCTAGCTTAATTACCTAGATCCAATTGAGCACCAACAATTACTCTTGCCTTTTTTCATTATGTGCCTAAACTTTCTTGTCTTTTATTTACATTTTTTGTTTTGTTTTGGGAACAAACCTGGCAGTGCTAAGGTCACACTCCTGGGTCTACACTCAGGTATCACTCCTGGCAGTGTGCAGAGGGACCATTTATCAGGGATTGAACTCAGTTTGGCTTCAAGCACTTCACTCACTGTACTATCTGGCCAAACTTACTATTTTATTTCCTTAAGTATATTTTAATCATACATTTGTTTCCTGTAATCAAAAGAAGGTTCACTAATATAGCAGTTATGTGAATTAATTCTCTGTTCTGTACTTTTCAGATAAGAAAAATTGAAGACACAAAGACAGTTTCTTCTTCTGCTTTGTAAATTGCTTTGAGGTACATGGTGGAAACCCAAAGCACAGATTTGCTTCTCTACTACTGCTTTTCTCAAAACTTGTTCCATAAAACATTAAATTTTCCCATGTTAATAGGGATAAGCTATTAAGAGATCTCTTTAGTAATAAATTTATCAACACCTCAGGGTTTCAGTGAGAACAGTGTCCAATGAGTAGATCTTTAACAAGAATGAAAATATATTGAATTTTCCCAACTTATTTTAAACACAGATCTTTCTCGTATTGTATCTCTTAGGGCTAAAGTTTTAAAGGAAATAACATTCAGGTTGCAATCCAAAGAATTTTCTCTCTGCTTGAAACACTGCCCACATGTTCCCTTCAATCCTTTACCATCATGCTTATGCTTTATACTACTTCCTCAAAAAAAAAATCTTTCACAGTTTTGCAATTATCACTGTCTCCCAATCAGATGCTTTATATAAGTGCTTTATATCTTTGCTCCCTTAAACGCTACTCCTCTTCATTTGTTTCTAATAAATAATTATAACCACCTATGTTTCCAACTTAAAATACATGGAAATCGCTCTACAAGATGGCCCCCAATGATTCTAACTTAAAAGAAGTTATGCTCCTATATAGTCAGTTCACATTGATTCATGGCAGGCCCAATAAAATATAGCAGCTGAAGAGATGTATGGCTCCTTAGGAAACATCAAAAAATATTGTAATTTCTGACTTGGGTAAATGAACTGCTTACTCTGGGGAAAGACAGCTACCATGCTATGAGGACATCTAAGCATCCTATAGTAACGTACTGTGTCCCCTGGCCAACAGCCAGCACCAATTTGCTAGCCTCATGAAAGGACCGACTTGGATGTCCTACAGTCCTTTTTTAGACTACAGAAGAATGAAGTACCAGCCAACAACTGACTATAATCCAGTGGGAGACCACAAACGATCTATCCAGGTAAGTCCTTCCCCAATTTCTGAACCTGAGAAGCCATAAATTCCTGAGGCCCAAAACTAAATTGCTTCTTATGATTCCACACCTTCCCTACACATAAAAAATGCACAGATACATGCAATTATACAAACACTGCAGAATCATTATTATAACACTTGAAATATAGCAGGCACTCAACATATATGAAATAGGTAAATAATAACTTAATGAGAAAGTAAACTATACATCTATGTGAATACGTGCATTTTTATAAATATATTTATTAGGATAGTGACATATAAGGACTAATTGACAATTTGAGTTATAAAGGAGGAAAAAACATTTCTTCTACATTGTCCCATGTCTCTGCCCCCGCGCCTGGGTGTTCCTTCCCGGAGTCCCTTGGAGGGGAGCGGGTTGAGCTTTCCTCCCCGCCCCGACCAGGGCTACGGCAGCCGAAGACCTCCAGGACCAGCCACCACCATGCTGAGACCACTCTCCGCACACATGAAGGTACTGGCAGAGGGACAAAGCCACGCGGGTTCCGGGGCCGAGACCTCCAAGCCTACTCGAATTGGAGTCGAGCATCTTTCACCCAGATCCTCCAAATTCCAGTAGGCGGGGGTCACACCCACCACCTGGCCCCCTGGCGCCGTGTAATCCCATCAGCGGCCAAGACTCAGAGACTATAAAATCTAGATCCCAGAACCGCGCGGCCGCATTTGCGGCCGCGCGACATCTTAACAGAATTTTTTTTTTATGACATCTTATTGTCTTATTCCTACTTTGGACAAACTTGCAGGCTATCGAATGTAGCCTGCCCACAGGGCAGAGTCTGGCAAACTCCCCGTGGCATACCAAATATGCCAAATACCAGTAACAATGATGGGTCTCATTCTCCTAAATAGCCTTGAATATAATCTCAGGGCTAGGATGAAAGAGACGTTACTGGGGCCTGCTCGAGGCAATCGACGAATAACAGGATGATGAAATGAAATGAAATGTCCCATGCTTAAGTCTTAGGAGACAAGCAAAAGGTCAAATATCTTACTCTGAACATAGTTCCAAATAAGAATTTCAGAAAATGTGACTTTATTGATACTGCACAGATTTTAGACAAGCACCACACATTTCTAGTGCTCCAGAATTCTCCTACAGAAAACAAAGGAATAAAATTAAGACCTTGTCAAAGGCCACGAAAGCTCTATCTTTCAGTGACACCAAGAGAATAAGCTTGCTGGATGTCTTGCAACAGCAGAGCAGGGTGGGAATAGAACTTAGCTTGGCTAATAGAGGGTCCTTTGGGCAGAACTATAGAAGAAAACTTCAGTCATGACCTGAAGTCCTCTCTTCTTCTAATCTTTCTGCTGTTTTTGGTCTTGGATTGGGGAGATATGAGAGGGCCAAGTCTGCAGGATGCAGGCAGGTCTGTCAAAACGATGATAAAATCTCAGAAACACAGCAACCTCCTAGGATTATTTCGATAGTGTGATTGGTCTGTATAGATGGTGAATGGTGCTGTCAGTCATAGCCTTTGAAGTCCTAAGTCTCAGGGTTAGGACTCACAAAACAGCTCTTGCCAATGGTCTCACATAGTCAACTCTTAACAGATACAACAGCTGCTTTCTAAGAATATAGTGTAGCTTTTAGGCAGTCTGCCTAGAAATTCTTTTCCACAAATTCCTGGAAGAAGTTACTTGATTTTCTCCACACCCAAAACTCAAAGGAACTCAGAAGGCCAGAATCAGAGTCACATAAGTCACATACTGCACCTGGGGAAATTACATCTACACAACATGATTTCTTGGACGGGGGCGGGGCGGTGGAAGAAATTCTTCTGCAAAGACTTTCCAAAGGAAGGAGAGCCAATCATTCTAGTTTAGTATTATGTTGAGAGAATATGAAAGTAATTGAAGTTGAAATATTAAAACTTTTTTTTAGCTTTGGGGCTATACGCAGCTGTGCTCAGTGCTCACAGTTAGTTTTTTGCTCAGAAATCTCTCTTTGAGAAGTTAAGGAGACCAAGTGTAGTACCAGAGCTCAAACCTGGGTCTACAGCATGCAGAGCAAACACATTACAGCTATACTATCCCTCTGGCCTGGAAATATGAAATGTATTGACTACTTACCATATTGTGAGTACATTTCGCCTCTCTTGTTTGATTCTTTGATGAATCCTAAAACGTGTCTATTTTTTAATCATTTTATGTCTCAGAAAACATAGGGTAGAGAGCACCAAGTCCCAGTCCAAGCTTTCATTAACCACTAGGATTTCTTGCGTCCTGTGTAAAAACCACTGGCTGTATGTATCTATATGTATGCAGAAATGGGGGAAATACAGAAAGATAAATATATTCGGAATCAGGAATCAGTACATTTGGTCCACGCACCAAATTCAACCCATTGCATATTTTGAAAAATATGGACTTACTGGGACTCTCCATGCTCATTTACATGTTGTTTATGGATCCTCCTGAACTGTTATATTTGAGCTGAGACATGTGACAGAAAACATGTGGTCTGAAAAGCTTATGGTACTTGCATCTTACCATTGAGAAGAAGGGCACCCACCCCAGCTTCATAAGGCAGTGATAATATCACATCATTTGAGCTTCAGATTCCTAGAGACAAAAAATATATTACCACATTTTCTTCTGCTTTTATAACAGCCAGGTCTCTGTTGCTTGGGGGCCACAAGGGCCACACCTAGTGATGCCTAGAAGCTGAATATGTGATCTACCACTTGTACCATTTCTCTGGGAAATAAGTTTCCTAACTAGTCTTGCATAAGTACTAAAAAATAATTTGACAATTAACCACATGATATTCATAAATGCTCATTGTGGAAAAAATTAGGTCCATGTCGTCCTTATATTCTGAAAGCCACACAGAAGGTAAAGAACATCAGTAAAATAAAACTAGAATCACTCTGAGTAAGGTCCGGAGGATTAAATCCCAGAGCATCCTCAAACAAACGCGTTCAAAGGAGTTGCCCTCCAAGCCCATTCTGTGGGTCAGATGAACCAATGGCATGAACACTTCAGACATATCATTATAATTTTAACAGTTCTCTGCACCACAGGTAGCATCATTTATAGAGTGTTTAATTGAGTTACTTTTATTTTAATTAACTATGGCAAGGAAACTATGCCATTGCCATAAGTATAAAACCAGGTTAAGTTAGCTTAAATAGAAAATATTGTACAAATATAAAGATAATTTTAGATTTCAGATAATTAGCATTGCTCACCCAATACTCTGTTCCTGAACCCTCTCTCTCCCCCTTTAGAAAGACTAAAGCATATGTTGGAAAGGAGGAAAACAAAACCGAAAATCTCTCCAGGACAGAAAGAAAATTAAAAAGAGAATAACTTTCTCACAATCTCATGCCATGAGTAGTACTCTCCCCAGACATTTGAGAAACACTGAAACCAGACAGTCTGATTTCATGAGAATTACAAAGCCAGCCAAAGAGTTGGGAAGAGGGAGTAGAAAAGAAGAAAGATTCCCTTCCTAAAATGGATGAAATCTCTCTAGTTTTCTTGTTGGAGTCTCATGCATAGCAGACACTTGTTAGCCCCAAAGGAAAAATCCTGGTAACTGGAGCTTGGATATCAGATCCAGGCCAGAGTTGGAATCCTGATTGCTACTTTTGGATGTCTTGACTTGAAGCAGGGTACAAATCCTCTCTGAGTCTGTTTTCTCACTTAGGAAGAAAAGAACAAGTGGGGAGAAACCAGTGATAGCTCCTCTGCAGAATTAAGTAGGGATCACAAGAGTTGGAATGCAAAAAGGAAAGCTATTTCCATCTTCTTGTCAGATTGGAACACTTCTAAGTTTTTTTTTCTTCCTTTTCTGTGCCTATAGCACTTAATAAACATGATGTGAGTTTGTTGTGAAAATGCCTTAGTTATTTTCTGGGACAGCAATTCTCATCCCCCATGAAAGTCCTATCAGCTGTCTAACCATGCAAGTAGGTTGCAAAGTTAACATCTGAGAGTCTTTATTACTGCCAACCACCACACATGGTCTAACCCTTAAAAAATTCATAAGAGCTGAAAAGGAACATCACTTTTTCTTTCATTTATTTTTTTTAATTTTATTGAATCACCATGAGATAGTTACAAGCTTTCATGTTTGGGTTACAATCACAGAATGATCAAACACCCATCCCTCCACCAGTGCACATTCCCCACCACCAATATCCCTGGTATACCCCTCCTTTCCCACCCTCCTCCTGCCTCCAAGGCAGACAACATTCCCCATACTCTCTCTCTCTATTTTGGGGCATTATGGTCTGCAATACAGACACTGAGAGATTATCATGTTTGGTCCTTTATCTACTTTCTACACATATCTCCCATCCCAATCGGTTCCTCAAGCCATCATTTTGTTTTCGTCTTTACTTTAGACCAAGTACTGAGCTTGCGATTCTATGTATTTTCTATCATTTAATACCCTAAATTAAATTTTGAAGACTAAATTTTCATTCTGATTTTAAATATAGGAAAACCAAGACCCAAACAGATGAAATCATTTGCAGATTTTGTCACGAAACTTCTAAGTAGAGAAAGTAGTTTGTACAGAGGTGTGTCTGCTGCCCCAAACCTTGTCCATGACCAAGCTCTTAACTTATAGTTAAGCATTATGGTGCTTTGGCTAGGCCCATCTCAATGCCAGGGTAGCACATAGCTTACCGCTTGCCCTGGTTCCATCCAGTTCCTCATCTGGACCCTGCTTTTGGGGGCAGTAGGAAGTAAAGGCAGCTGAGACTTAGGTGAGAGAACAGATGCCCAGGAGGGAAATATCACTGAGAATCATATTACAAAATTATGTCTTCTTGTGTCCATACAAAATAAACATTGCTCTGAATAATCTATGCAAAGGACTTAGAGAGAAGAGAAAAACAATATTTACAAGTCAACAGAGCACAAAGAAAGAAGTTACAAATAAACACAGAGGAATGAGAACACTGTGATGGGAGCAACCCAAAATACCTAAACCACCTGAGGGTATGCAAGAAG